CGTGTGGGAACCAATGAAGGAAGGTGAGGTGATACATGCAATGCTCCTGATGAAAGATCTCTTTGAACCCAGGAGCTCTGGCTGGCTGGAACTAGACCCTGCCCAGTAAAATCTGTCTAGATACAGCACCCAATAGGTGATGCTTACATGGCCCATACCCTCCCCTCCTTTCTATTTGCCAACTGATATCTGATGGTTTCCCTCATTCTCTTCTAAAAATAGATTTTTTTTTTTAACATATCTGGTTGGGGGGAGAGAGAGGGAGGGGTTGTTTTTGTTTTTGGCAACCGACCCAAAACCCAGGACTATGTCTGAAAATTCAGCTTTCCAGCACAGATGCTGCAGAGACCGGAGGATTTCAGAGTTGTTCCTCTGTTATTAGTGAGAACTGGGAGGCTGGACCATATCACATTGTACTGAGAAAAAAAAGCCAGAAGTGAAAGAAGGAGCAGCTTGTGTGAGAGGCCTTTCATCCAAAAGGGAGGAGTGAGCCACAGTGAACACCTTCACACACCAAGGATGCCAAATCCTGAGGCCACCAATTAGCCTGGTCATGGGGAGAGGGGGGAAACAGAGCAGGCAGGACCATAGTCCAGTGCACCAGCAGGTGTATTCCCAACAGCCCTGAAAGAAGAGAGCTCCTGATTTAAACACAGCCTAATGACCACTATTTCCAAGAACACAAGTAACTTATGTGTAAACATCACTCCCCCAACCAGGCATTAGCTGGAAAAAAAAAAAAAAAAGTGCTTTGGAGAGAGATACTAATTACATAGCTCTCAACAGCTGGACTTTGATCATAATTACAGTCCCTTCTTCATCTTACATTAGTGGCTTTCAGCTGCAGCTAGGTGGGTACTTCTTGGAAGGTGGAAATCCCGCCTGTTTCAGATAGTCAGCTCTTTTTATGACTCAGAGCTGACTTGGGTTTTCTGCAGCACAGGATGAGCTCCCACGGTACCATCCAAATAAGTAATTCAGGGGGGTCAGTGACTTGGCACTTCAATACAGCTGCTTCTTTCATTACAGTAGCACTTTCTAAGTCCCAGGAGCCAGAGAACTGAGTGGGCTATATTCCCAATTTCAAATATTTCCTTTTATAAGGGAAGCAGACAGAGAAAGATTTTGAGGTTTTTACTGAATTTTAGCATCTCTTAGCTTATTCTGTTTAAGACAATGTGATAGTTCTGACCTGGCTCCCTGCCAAATGCCCAAAACTCACGGCAGCAGCCCCCTTCCCCCCTCCCTTCTTCCTTTAGGGCAAAGGAAAAAAAACTATAAAAATTAAGGAACCCAAAGTCAAGCTACTTATATAAAAATATATATATTTACATATATTACAGTTATATACAGTTAAGATGCTATGTACAGAATAAAAGGGAATCCAAACACCCCCCAAAGGGATACAGAAAGGGGAAAAAGGGACAAAAGGGAACAAAAAGGGACACCGAACAGATATATGCAATCAAACTCAAGAACTGTACTAGTAACTAGCAAAATAGATCTCACCATGTCCCTTAGAAAAGCAGGATTGGCAGACACAGCCAGCACTCTCCAAACCTCCACATGGAAGGAGAATGGACATTGCAGGACTCAGCCTTTGATAAGTGAGACCAACGCAAGGACCCACTGCTCCCAAACCTCGCCAGAAGAGAGCGAGGTCTCTAATCTCCAACTTATTTATACTCTGGTTTATGTAAAAATCGTATGGAATACTGGGTACATGGCCACTTCCTTGGTTACAAACTGGTCACCAGGAAGGCCTAGACCAAAACCATCACAGACAAAATATGAGCACACTCAGGATATACCTTTCCAACGAACCTCACTTCAGACAGTCACATGCCACATTTGTACCCTTCACTTCTGCATTAGGATGTACATCCCTATCAGCACCCACTGTCCCTCTGCCCCTCTCAGCTGGGCTGCAGTTCCAGCACTGAACCACAGCACCCACAGCAACGAGTGGGGTTGTGAAGGAGGACGCTGGTGCCCTGTGCCACAACTGAGCTCTCTATGCTTTTTTTTGTGATGCTTTGCTTTGATCCCCACATTTACAAAGAAATTAGTAGCCTAAGTGAGGGAGCTGGGCTGTTGAGACAGAAGCTGGAGTGGCCTAAACAATGATAAGCACAGATTCAGGGCACCCAGCTATTTTTCCTCATCTGTGGTGCTGAATTATTGTGTTATTTGGATATACCATTTCACAGTGGCCTATGATAGGCATTATAGGCATTAAGGATAGGCATTAAGGATATGAGCATTATAATGGCACATTAGCTAATGCTCCTTGGTGTGATCTGTGTTCACCTCTTGAGAGAGGAAATCTTTTAGCTGTGTCCCACATTGCCTGCCTGCCAGACACCCCCAAACTGAAGAGATTAATAGATGAATCAACAGCAGAGGGTAAATCAGAGGCAGAAATCTTTGAGCTAACTGGGATTTATAACTGCTTCCCCCTCCACATCGAACTACAGGGAAATACGTGTGACACCCTCCCCTCAATCTGACAGGGTTCCACACACTTTTTACTATTGGTTTTTTTTGCCAGCATGCCTCAGCTCAACGTTATCTGTTTGCTGGTTAGATAATTACTGGATGTAATTTTAAAGCTGCAGAGAAGCACACTGGTATAGCTAAATAAAGTACTTTGACCACATCAAAGCAGAAGTGTTTCAAACAGTGTAAAATAAATGCAATTCTGAAACTATTGAATTTTGTTAAAGCAGTCAGGGAAATGTCACCCAGCACATCATGAATAAGCAACCAATGGAGCTTAAAGCTGAAGACTGTCTACATCTTCAGACTGAGAAAAGCATCTCTGGGACCAGCTTTCAGCTGATTTTGACCTGTGGCAGAGGACAGTCGCTAACAATTGGACAAATGCCACTCTTGGCTCATGTAAACAGACATGCATAGCAGCTGAGACATGTTGTTACTCTAAGCTACATCTTGAACAGGTTTTATGGCTGAGGGGTGTCACAAACTCTATCTGTCCTGAGGCTTCCCACACTACAGTGCTCACTTAAAAACTCATCATACTGCTTAAGGCATGTGGCGAGGAGCAGCATTTCTGCTGAAAGGCCTGACTTGCTGAACAAGGCAGATTTGAAGGGGTGAAAGGCCCATTAAAAAAATTCTGCAGAATACAGCCCAGGGATTTTTTTTTTTTTCTCATTAACTCCTGCTCCACCTGAATGTTTTTGCCTGAGCTGCAGCACCAATTTTCTGAACCTGTTATTTGACATGAGATGGGATGCAACTGTCAAGAGGGGCTGGTACTTCCCAGTGCATCTTCATGCTTTCTAATTTAATTCCTTCCCTCCCACCACCTTTTTTATTTTTCTTCATTTTCTGTTTTGGAATTTGCCTGGCTGTGGCTTCCAGCCAAGGAAATTTATTAATCTGCTAAACACTCCGCTGCTGCTAGCCTGAATCCACCTTCCCGGATGGGCACCTCTCTTGTATTGCTCTTCTCCTGGCCGCAGGCACTTCCCCGCCGGGATCAGCAGGGCTGGGCGGATTTGCAGGAGCTCAGAGCGTGGCTGCATGTGCCTGGCCAGCCCTGGGGCTCATGTTGTGGAAGATCTCGCCAGGGAATCCAATACCCCGCCGGCTTCGTTCCATCTTCCTCTGCCACGGCAGCACGGCCAAGGACCGTGCGCTATTTCCCAGCTCCGCTCCTTCCCCCCTGCTGGCCCCAAATGCGGCCCCTCCTCGCTGCCAGGTCTCCACACTCCTCCCCAGGACTTTCACACAGCGGTGGCACCAGGCACACAGCGGATTAAGCAGGGGATAAAAGCCCCCACCAACCTTCTAACAAGTCACGATAGCGGGGGGAAAAAAAATTGAGATCACGAAGCTGCCTGCAATGCCAAGGGCTGGGTGATGGTGGCCAAGCCCTTTCTTCAACAGAGAGCTATGTAGCGTGAGTAGCCTTCCCTAACACCCTAAAGAGGATGTAGAGTTAATAGTTAACTCTTCCAGGGATTGAATGCCTTCGAGAGACACCAGCCAGGGCTTTTACAAAACACAGACAGAAACTAGTCTTAAAACAGCTCAACAAGTGACTGTACTCAGAAGATTTCACCTCTCCGAACTTTATGACTGGAAAAATACCATCTACATGTCATTTACATGCTTAAATATAGTATCTTCTGCTGGGGGAAACAAACAAACCGACAATGTGATACTGTGACACCTCGTGCAGACATGCTCTTTTATCTGCTGGAAAGTTATAAAACTCAGCGTAACAACAAAGCTAAAATAAGAGTGGTTGGCAGGCACTGAGGCTGGCTGTTAGACAGAAGGAAAAAATATTCCTGGAAAATTACTTGCTCTTAGAATGCAGGTTTTTTTTCTTCTCTGAATATTTTAAATTATTTATTTATCCTTTAAATTACAAAATCTCAGAGCTTAATAGTTAAGCTCATATTATCTCCAGGAGCTTTTTCATTTAAAGAAACAAATAAACACACTAGAAAGCTAAAGCAATTCCTATACTACCCAGAGCACAGAGTAACCTTCTGCTCCAAAACACAAGGGAAGATACTATCAGCCTTCGTGTTATTTATCATACTTTTTTCCCCTCTAATACCAAAGAGGAAAAGGGGATATCTTAAACGGATGCCTATAATTAAACAGTAACCTGTTAGAAAGCCAAAAATAATAATAAGCTCCACTGAGCATGAAGAGAGCAGCACATTTTTTCCGCGTGCAGCCCAGCTGCCACCGGACGATAGCAGAAAAGTTAACAATTAGACAAGACACTCAGATCAAACCTGCGATAGGAAAGAGTTACGTCACGCTCAGAGACTCACCGCTGGATGCAGGGATCAGGGTAGTACTGCAACGTGGTGAAAGGTGCTGGTTCGAAATTCATTTCTTTTTGAGCCCCTCTTCGGGGACAAACCAAAATAAAATAAATAAATAGTTATAAAGCCAGCAGGCTAAAAGCAATAAGGTCAAGTGGTACACGAGGTACAACTTTAGAGATTTATTTTACACTTGCGAATGGGTGGGATCTCCTGGGGACTTGGCCAATGGGATTCATCAAGTGACATGAGCATCACCACCACTCCCTCCTCGCCAGCTGGGCATCTTCTGCATGGATATTTTCCCCTCCTCTCAACATCCTTAATAAACTTTGGTGTACGCTGGCCACACTTGTTGTTGGGAGCTCATCTGAGGCTTCTCTGAACTTCTGATCTCACCGGTCATTGGTTGCCTTCCTGCCTGACTTCACAGTTTAATTTTGGCAGCCCTTGCAATTTTTCAAACTGCTGTGGCCGCTGGTCATCCTTGTCTCCAGATGGCCGGAGTTTCCTGTGCTGGGTGCAGCACCCGTGCTGAATTTCATCGTACTTTAAAAGCTTTCCTTGTCAACTTTGTGGCTAGTACCTGCATATAGTTGCTTGGGGAATTTTTCAGACTCTCTCACACCACAGTTCAAACAGTCTGTTGTGGTCACAGTTTCAAAAGCTGAATGACAAAATATGGGGAAATTCCTCAATTAAAATTAACTCTGAACTTTTGCTCTTCTGCCTCCCCTTCCTGCTCTCCTCCCTGCAAGAAAACTATCAGACATGATTGTTAATGTTTCCCTCTGTAGATTTTGACCATTTTTTTCTGAAAGAGTTGAGATGACATAGAAATCTTTTATTGTTCTGGCGTTGTGTAACTAATGTATACATTTTCATAATTAAAAAAACCCCAATATTTTCTTGAGGAGAAAATAAAAGAAAATAGAAATCAAATCTTTTTCAGCCACTAAAGCCTAAAGAAACAAGAGCAAAGTGAAGTCCACCAAAACAAAGTACCAAAGATGAAAAGAAGATCTGATTTTCCTGAAGGAACATGAAAGCAAGAAGGTATAGCTTTAATTCTCATTCACCACCTCATTTTCTTTTTGTTTTTTCTCTGTCTTTTGAGTCATATAGAAAATCATTTAGAAAAGCAACCTATTTTCTCCCCCTGTTTTTTGCCCCACCATGATTTATCCAAATAGTACAGGCTGTAAACCTATCCTGGTTTTGTGGGTTTGGAGAATGAATGAAATATGAATCAGGAGCTAAATTAAAATAGATTCCAGCAGGAAAAAAATAGCAACCACATATCTGTGCACCAGTGGGATTGCATCTTCAAGCAGACCTATACGTCTGTGTGCATGAAGAAAAGTGTAAGAGGCTGCCCTATAGCTCACCTATAGCGCATATTTTGTGCCACTGTCAGCACAAATGCCAGCCTCCCAAGGAAAAAGCAGGAACCCTCCGAGACAGCAGTGATTGCCTCTTATTTTTCTCCCTCTGTGTTTTCCTTGTAGGAAATTTTCGTTCGAAGAATGTCACGTGGAAACATTTTCTTTGCTGCCTGTGCCAGGGTGGCAGGGGAGCTATTTCAGTCTTGACATTCTCCACCCACACTCAGCCTGATAGTTCCTAACATCTGTGAATTGTGAATCCTGTAAACTTGCAGGGCTGATCCCCGGCCAAGCCCAAGCAGCTTTCACTAAGTGACATTCACCAAGGAAGAGAGGCTGGAAGTGAAGGATGTGTTTATTAACTGAAGTTAATAAACCCTCACTGCTGAACACTGATTCCTCTGCCTTGCCTGTGGAAGATCAGTAATATGAAACACCTTCCTTCTCTTAGGCTGAACCCCAGAATAAACACCAAACCTTATAGCCTGCGTCACTGGAGAAGTGTGGGAATCTCCAAACCAGAACCTACCGGGGAGGGAAAAGGAAGAATCACACAAGGGCTTGCACTCACACAGCGAGCATGGCTGCAGAGGGCTGCGTCCCCTTCCACTGCTGAAATCAGTGCTTTGCTTACCCCTGAGCAGCCGCCTCTCCTTAGGCAGCAGGTACTCCAGGGAATGGGCAAGGAGGGCTGAACAAACTCATGGTCCACACTCACAGCCTGGCTCTGATCTAGGCTTTGAGCATATACCCTTAACCAAAGACATGGCAGGCAAATCCTCTCCATGGACAAACCATTTGAGCAAGAGCTTGGGTTCATGTTCTCTTGCTCCTGGACTTCGTTTCAATCTTCATCTGTGGCTGTGGGTAACCAACCTGCTGGGGAGGAGCATCACTCAGCAGGCTGGGCTCTGGATATGCTGCTGAGACCCTATGCTTGCTCCTGGAGAAACACCAGAACCTTGTTGGGTTTCTTCTACCATGCCCTTGGTGGGATTAGCTGTTACCTCTCCAAGCTTGACTTCATGGAAGGGTGGTCATGCATTGTATATTCTTCCAACAGCCTGGAAAAGTTTATTTTTTCCTGACAGATTTCAGCCTAAAAGACAAAAGAATTGCCATGAGATAGATGCTGTTCTTCTGAAATCCTACTCTACACACTTCTTCATGGGAGCTGGAGAAGAGTGTTCCCCAGCATGGCCTGAGTGCCAGGGCCAGCATATTGGGAGCAGGAAAAGGCTGGACCATTCCCACCTGGAGACAGACCCACTTTTGATTTTGTTCAGTCTCTCACCTGGCACACGCCCAGATCACACATCCCAAGGGCTTTGTGAAGTACAACTGGCAGCTCCTGAAACTGATGCTGCTGGGCTGGCCTCTGTCTCCGAGGGTGAAGTTGGCCTCTGGTTTTACACTACCTTAGCTCTGCACAGCAGAGTACCCCTTGGTACCCCACACAGTAAATACAGGTCTGTTACAGCCCAAACCATCAGTCCTGTTATGCTTGGTTTTAGTGCTGAACACATCTAGCAGCACCGCAGTCAAGAAGAGGTAGTTAGTCTCCATCTAGCAATTCATACCAAAAGAATAACTTTTCCTGAAAAAAAAGAAATACTTCATTTTGAAAAGAAGCACCACATAATTTTGATGAGAAATAATTGCTTGGAGCAGGGCTCTTTTCTCACTCACAAGGCACTGATGAGAGGGGTTTCTACCAAAGACATTTCCATAAAAACTTCAAAAGGGGCCACCAACTGCCCAAGACCTGTACCAGTCTGTACCTGGGGCTGGGCATATGCAAATTGCTCATAGTTTGGTTTGTTTTGGCAGTGCACACAGCACCTGGCTGCTTTTCCTGGAGAACTGGACATTTTCAGCCTCCTACAGAGGTCTGGATGTGTTCTGAGGTAGCTCAGAAGGTCAATCTCTTGCTTTTTCAAGCTGGAAAACAGAGCCATGGAAACCCACAAGCAGCAGTGCACAAAATCCCCCTGCAAAAGCCAGCAAGTCTTCTGATTTCTCTCTTCCAACATAAACTTCCTTTCTCCCTCCTGCTCACAGCCAACATTTAGCTGTGGGTTGATTGACCATGAATTTAGGCAGATATCCACCCTTGCAGTTAGGTTGCACCCAGCTCCTCTCAGCTGCAAGGCACTCCTTTACATAGCACAGTCCACAGTGGAAACACAAGCCACAGGGGGTGTGTGTGTGTGAGCTGACAGTGCCCCATGCATAGCTGGAAGGCTCTCAGGGCTCAGTGGTATTTGGCCAACTTCATTTGCATTGCCTTAAAGAAAATCTACTGGGAGGCCAAGATGTTCAAGAGCTGGAGATTTCAGAGGGGGACTGAGTGGGTACATGAGGATTTCAAAACTTATTAATTTAGGAAGAAATTCTTTGAGAAGAAATTCTTTACTATGAGGGTGGTGAGGCACTGGAACTGGTTGCCCAGAGGAGCTGTGGACACCCCCTCCTTAGAAGTGTTCAAGACCAGGCTGGATGGAGCATTGAGCAACCTGGTCTAGTGGAAGGTATTCCTGCCCACAGCAGAGTGGTTAGAAATAGATGATCTTTAAGGTCCCTTCCAACCCAAACCTTTCTATGATTCTGTGATCAAAGCAGCCTGGGAGTGCAGGCAAGGGGGAGCTTCTTGCAATAGCAGACCTCAAAGGTAGTCAGCTGAGGGGTGCTTGTGATATCCTCAGTGTTCACTGCCCTTCCTAGGAGGCTTCTTGCTGGTGAGTGTGATGCTGATCTCAGGGCTGCAGGCCCGTGTCCTGCAGAAGCAGGGCGGAAGCCAGGGTGTCAGGGATCTGTCTGGACAGCGGATTTACAGCCAAGCCTCTAGTGCTTGTGGTGAGCAGGCAGCACGGGGCTATGCGGAGGAAGCATGTGTGTAGGTGGGCAGGAATGCGGGGCATCGCTCCGCCACTGCTGCTTCCACGTCTGGGAGAGAAAAACAGCCAGAGAAACAGCTGTGGACTACTCTCCCATTACCCCTCCATTCACCCTCTCTCTGGCTTCGATTTGAGCTGTCACTGAAATGACCATGAGATTATCTTTTAGCAGAGGCAAACATTTATATCCCTGGGAGGAGACTGTTGGGGATTTATAATGGTCTCCCCCCTGCCACCCAGGTCAGTGCCTGGATTCCTCTGTGCAGCCTCCATCCTGAAAAGGGTGAAAGGAAGAGGCACAGTTTCTTGACACCTCTGTGGCTCCAGTACTGATCTATGGGTCCAAGGACCTTTGAACAACTTGGAGCCGAGGAAGACAGGGAGATGCCAGCTTTGCTCTGAGCCACCTTTTCAACTACTGGTTTCAGGATTTGCCTGAAATCAGCCCCACCCTTTACACCAGGGGATGAAACATTTCATTCACAGCTCGGGGTTTCCAGGGGAGTAGTTGTGGTTGTTTTAATTTTTTTTTTTTTTAAGTTAAAATGAATTTCTTTTAAGAGCAAGAGATCTGTGGGACATTGGGGGATTTTTTGTTAGAAAATGTTGAAGAGAAGGAAATAATTCCCTCCTACCAGCAATGAAATGTTTTTTGCTTGGCTGTTCAAGGGAACAGAAACACACATCAGTGTGCCTTTTGAGCACAGTTTCCAATTTCAACTAAGTATTAGAAATATTTAAAGGTCTCAAAGGAATTAAGGTTTTATGAGTTTCATGAACAGAAGCGAGCAGAGGAAAGACTCCAGTAACTCCAGTGAAAGGAAAGAGGTAACAGGAGTGTGACCCTCACAGGCTTTGGACAATCTATGTGAATGCTCAATGGTGGGAAAAGCTTCCTTAAGAATTCAGATTTTGCCTCCAGCCAATCTCTGATCCTACTGCTCCAGAAATGTCAGATTTCTGGCTTTTGGCTCATACATGCCTTCCCCCTCACCTTTCATACTGAGAGACAAGGGACAGGGCAAACAGCAAACTTAAAAAATAAACTAGTAAATAAAAATATGACAATTTTACATACAATCATGCCCATCCCCACAGCATCTTTTGTCCCTAGTGCAAACAAAAAGCAGTAAAAAAGGGCATTCATACCCCAGACTTCCATGCTGGCACTGTCCTGCCAGTGGAGCGTAGACCTGCTGGTGGGGGCCCGAGGGGCTGAGCCCAGGCAGCATCTCCAGGACAACACTGTGTAACATCCATGATCAAGGTCATTCTTGGTCACCGATGGCCAAGTCTGTGCCCAGGACTGGTGACAACTCAGTGAACAAGCAGTCCAGCAAAACTCTATAGGCAAATCTAAAGAGAAGATGACAAAGGTGTGTTAATGTACTGCTCTCCACATCCTTCTCCTCAAGTTAACACCTCACTGCTAAAAACTGTGGATTTTAAAATACACACTGTCTTCAGACTGCCATCTGCATGTAAGTACCACACATCTGGAGCTCTGCACAACCCTCCTGTTGACCATCAACGTTTTATGTAGAGTTAGGAAGAAACACAGGAGTTGGTGCTGTTCCAGCCCTGCTCATCAGCACAAGGTAAACTGCTTTCAGAGCTCTCTGGTTACCTTCGGTGTCTCCTCTGTCACGTTTGTAGTGTTAGAGGATCATCTACTCACAGTAAAGGATAGTATAGTTTGGGGATCCCTTTGCAGGGATAAGGAGTGGTTTCATGAGACACAAACCACTTCTTGAGTATTTGTCCCCAGGATCTTGTCTCAGCAGGAACTCAGATGACAAGGACTGTAAGACTGACTACTTCGCAACAGACAAGCTGAAGTCTTCCATGTTCTCACCCCTCACCATCATCTACTTTGTAGTCTTTGTCAGGACATGCTGTAGTTCTGTGCTTGAGAAACCTTGAAACTATTAGTACTTTCAACTCGCCCAGAACAGCTACAACAGGAGTTTCCCACTGCTTCCCTTTCTACTCCAACCTCATAGCTTGCAGCAAAACACTTTTTACTCTTCTCCACTTCTCCCACATGTTTATGGAGACTTCCAGTTCCCACAGGACACTTAGTGGCATCCCTTGTTTGCTCCAGGCTTTCCCGTCTTCCAGGTCCCAGGGCAAAGACTGGTGCTAGGAGGAAGCCCAGAGCACCCATCTCAGCAGGTTAATTGAATTGTGCTCTGGGCTTCCCACTAGTGCCAACTCTGTGTGTTTCCGTGGGATCACTCCAAGCCAAAAAGGTTGCCTGAGGCTGGCTTTCCTTCTAATTCCCCAGCCTCTTTATCTCACTGACCCCCCACCAAGATCCTCAGAGTTATATATTTCCTACATCACTGTCTGACGGTAAAGCCTCAGTTCAGCTATGGATGTCACGTCTTCTGGAGACATTCCCACCACTAAGGGACACAATGGGTCTTTTTCTGCAGAAACGGGGAGCAGTGGGAGGTTTTGCCACTTGTTTTCACATAACAGGAAGGAGATAATATAAGAGCAGACTTGAAGCTGAACATGTGTTTTAGAAGCTGCAGTCTCCATTTTGTCATGGTTAAGGAGTCACCAAACAAAATTAACTGTAAGGGTAATACCATCAGCAAAGAGAAGATATGAACACTGGAGAGGTTTCTTTTCACTATTACAAAAAACCAGGGCTCTTCTCTTTATGAAGAGGGAGCAAAAGGAACCGAGTCTGAGCTGCCAAAACTCCATCTCCCAGGGCAAGCCTGGTGGTTATTCATGCACATGTGAAGAAAGTGAAACACAGAGAGTAGCGATTATAGGTAAACCAGAAACAAAGCTGAAAGGAGGCTCTCTCCCAGCAGTGCCCTGACCCCAAGAGAGCCTGCCCTGTCCTCGAGAGCTGGCAGGACACTGTGCAACTCCCACAGGAAACTACTGCCACCTGAGGGAGTGACGGACCTGCGGGGCAGAGGGAATTTCCCTCTCTGATGCTGGTGCAGCTGCACCATCGTCTCCAGGCATTCCCGAGACATTGCAGGGCCACAGCCTGGGCTAAAGTGGGGCTGGAGGCCTGAGCACTCCAGGACAGGTGGCAACACCCTGCTGTGGGGTCAGGATTGCATATCAAAGGGGTGGCAGGAGCTGTGTAGGTGGAAGGCTTGGCCTCCTCATACAGCTGCCACACAACATGTCTGGCATTCTGGTGACAACCTTGCCACAAATACACACAGTGTCATCACACCCGGTGGGGTCAAGCCCAGGTTGGGGACAGAAACCTCAGTGACCACATCCCTGTGGGTGAAAGCCTGCCCCAGCTCTGCTGTGCAGTGGGGCAGGTGGCAGAGGAAGACAGGACCAGGAGCTCTCTGCAATTTCCCTTCAGTTTTTAGCACAGGCTCTCACTCATCCTCTCACTACAGCCCCATCCCAGAGTTTTCCCACGCTCTGCCCATATCTCCCAGGTGTTCACATCAGAAGCCTAGAGGTTAGTGCATGGACTTCAAGGATATCAGCTTCTGAAGTGCTGGTGACAGGCAGCAGCACCAGCCCAGCAGCAAATGAAAGAAGAGGTTTGCTCTACGTGAAGCAAGGCAAAAGCCTTTCTGAATCAAGCTGTCTGTGTAGAGAGATTCACTCAGAGAGAAAATTCCTTGCAAGGATAGCATATACTGTCAGCCTCAGTGGAAGACAGAGAAAATGCAGTAGACTGAGTCTATTGCTGTGTCACTCATCTTTCACTCCCTCTAACTTTTCCTTGTGAGTCAGAGCTGAGTTGCATGTCATGTTGCTGCTATCAACCCTGCTGTTCCTGCTGTTTCCCATCTGCGTAATCTACGCAGGCAGAAACCTCTCTGTCCTTTTGGCAGCTTCAGAAAATAAATCATCAATGCAAAAGCATCAGTCTCAAAAGAATTTACCCTTTCCAAAGAGGATACAACAAAAACTCACTGCTTGGCTGCCAGAGCTCTAGTTCCCAGCATTAAGGCTATGTCTCTCCTGCAATCCAAGGTGCAAGCACAGCTCCTGCAGGCATACCTGAACTAATGGGATTAAAGCCAGTTCAAGAACAGTAGCAATTAAAACAAAAATCCCTAAAGCATTAACCACTAGTGATGGAAGCCCTGGTTGCAAACCTGCACATCCTCTGCTAAAGCCTGCACTTCCACACCTCCCCAGCCAGCAGTACCCAGCTCACCATTATTGTGGGTGTGTTCACATAGGTAATAATTTCCCTCCTGACTGTGCTGGAGATACAGCCCAAGAATGCCTGCATTTAGGAGCACAGAGGTTCTTATCCAACCTTACAGCTTGAAAAACAGTAAGGACAGGACATGCTCAGCTCTGCTAGTCAGTCCATCCTCCTCAGGATGGAGCACAAAATCCATTTAATCAGTGACCTTACAGTACATGGGTGTGAAATAAGGGTTTGGTTTCACTGAAGTTGATAAAAGCTCTTTTCCCCTCTCAAAGCAAGGCTCAGGAAAGCTGAAGAGTCAAGTGTTTCATGTCTTTGTGGAGAAGATAACAACTTAAGAAGAGTCTCTTGCATTACCCCCATACTTGCGCTTTGATGTTAATAGCCCGTGTATGTATCCTTGAAAAAAAACAAAGCCTTGCATCTGATACGATCAAATCTTTGCACCTCACTTTTTCCAAAGTGAAACAATTTCTGCTGTGACTCAGGCTAAGCACGTCATACATTGCACCCTTGAAGTCGGCAAAAGATTAACCCTCTGTCCCAAGCTCTCAGCTCAGACTTCAGCTTTTCAAACCAGGGTAATTTTCCCACGGCCACGGGATGGCAGAACTCAATATTGCTCTTTGTTAGGAAGTGAAGCTGCCAGAAGTGACACACCATCGGGGTAACACCAGCTAAAC